ATTATTGTACTCGGCCCTGAAAAGCTTAGAAATATGGTATCTAACCTGGCCTTACACAGAGTTTCTGTCTGATTTCTCAGACTTTTTATCTGATTTAGTGCTCAGCTCACATAAAATAATTATTGTGGGTGATTTGATATGATCAACCTATCTCTAATAATCGGCTATGTACCACAGGCCTTCAAGCTGGCTGTAGTTAAACCTTTACTCAAAAAGCCATCTTTAGACCCAGCAGTCTTAGCTAATTATAGGCCAATCTCCAACCTTCCTTTCATATCAAAAATCCTTGAAAGAGTAGTTGTCAAACAGCTAACAGATCATCTGCAGAGGAAAGGCTTATTTGAAGAGTTTCAGTCAGTTTCCAGAGCTCATCACAGCACAGAAACAGCTTTAGTGAAGGTTACAAATGATCTTCTTATGGCCTCTGACAGTGAACTCATCTCTGTGCTTGTCCTGCTAGACCTTAGTGCAGCGTTCGATACTGTCGACCATAATATCCTATTAGAGCGATTAGAACATGCTGTAGGTATTACAGGTACTGCGCTACAGTGGTTTGTATCATATCTATCTAATAGACTCCAATTTGTACATGTAAATGGAGAGTCCTCTTCACACACTGAGGTTAATTATGGAGTTCCTCAGGTTCAGTGCTAGGACCAATTCTGTTTACACTATACATGCTTCCCCTAGGCAGCATCATTAGAAGACATAGCATAAATTTTCACTGCTATGCAGATGACACCCAGCTCTATCTATCTATGAAGCCAGATAACACACACCAATTAGTTAAACTGCAGGAATGTCTTAAAGACATAAAGAGCTGGATGGCCGCTAACTTTCTGCTTCTTAATTCAGATAAAACTGAGATTATTGTACTCGGCCCTGAAAAGCTTAGAAATATGGTATCTAACCAGATTCTTACTCTGGATGGCATTACCTTGGCCTCCAGTAACGCTGTGAGGAACTTTGGAGTCATTTTTGACCAGGACATGTCCTTCAACTCACATATTAAACAAATATGTAAGACTGCTTTCTTCCATTTGCGCAACATCTCTAAAGTTAGAAATATCCTGTCTCAGAGTGACGCTGAAAAACTAGTTCATGCATTTATTACTTCCAGGCTGGACTACTGTAATTCATTATTATCAGGATGTCCAAAAAACTCACTGAAAAGTCTTCAGCTAATCCAAAATGCTGCAGCAAGAGTACTGACAGGGACTAGAAGAGAGAGCAGATTTCTCCTGTTTTGGCTTCCCTTCAATGGCTTCCTGTTAAATCCAGAATTGAATTCAAAATCCTGCTCCTCACATACAAGGTCTTAAATAATCAGGCCCCATCTTATCTTAATGACCTTGTAGTACCATATCACCCTATTAGAGCATTTCGCTCTCGCTCTGCAGGCCTACTTGTTGTTCCTAGAGTATTTAAAAGTAGAATGGGAGGGAGAGCCTTCAGTTTTCAGGCCCCTCTTCTGTGGAACCAGCTTCCAGTTTGGATTCGGGAGACAGACACTATCTCTACTTTTAAGATTAGTCTTAAAACTTTCCTTTTTGCTAAAGCATATAGTTAGGGCTGGACCAGGTGACCCTGAATCCTCCTTAGTTATGCTGCAATAGACGTAGGCTGCTGGGGATTCCCATGATGCACTGAGTTTTTCCTTTCCAGTTCCCTTTCTCACTCACTATGTGTTAATAGACTTCTCTGCATTGAATCATATCTGTTATTAACCTCTGTCTCTCTTCCACAGCATGTCTTTATCCTGTCTTCCTTCTCTCACCCCAACCGGTCGCAGCAGATGGCCCCGCCCCTCCCTGAGCCTGGTTCTGCCAGAGGTTTCTTCCTGTTAAAAGGAAGTTTTTCCTTTCCACTGTCACCAAAGTGCTTGCTCATAGGGCGTCATGATTGTTGGGGTTTTCTCTGTATCTATGAAGCGCCTTGAGGCAACTTTTGTTGTGATTTGGCGCTATATAAATAAAATTGAATTGAATTATAGACACTGAACATCAAAAAATGTAAACATTTTAGTTTTAAGAAAGGCTTCTCTTACAGAGATGCTCACATTTTTTCTTTAAAAAATAAATAATAACTGGTAGAAACCAAATACATTTCACAATTGTATTTACCATTGCTGTAGTTTCATCTACCGTCAGCTCATCTAAAAAAGAAAAGAAAAAACAAACAACAGACACACACAAAAAACAAACAAATGTACCAGATCAGTATACACACAATGCTTGGCGTGCTAACCATATTTAAATCATAAATATTTACGTTTTTGGTTTCAGCTGACCTTTTTTCAATGATTTGATTTCTTCTCTTCCTCCTGCTCCTGCTGCATTATCGTGATCCTCCATGTCATCAGCTTCTCATCTTCACTGTAGGTCTGTGTATCAGAGACGGAAAATACAAAGTATTTATTTTTCCCTTGTGGAATGAAGGAAACTGTACCCACAGACACTTTGACTTTCTTTACAATTTCTATGCAGGATAGACCTACACTTAATTGTGATGGCCTGTCTCTCTTGCAATGTTAAATGCCTTTTTAAAAAAATGCTCATCACAGTGTGACTTTTAAAACCACTTCTGTCTGTGGAGGGAGTGGTGTTAAGTAATCAAGAAATGTTTGGACCCCTGTAGGAATTTGTAGCACCAACTTTGTAGGTTTGATCAACCTCCATTGCTGCAGAACAGCTTTAAGTTGTTCACCCAATTCTATTTCCTTTAAAATGCCTTTTTGTATCATTTTGAAATGTAAATTATTTTTCCATTGAGATGCAGATTAGTTCTGTTAAGGTTCTTTTCTTTGTTGGCATAAACTTTAACCACAATACAATCACACTGCCAATGTATTCATCAGAATGTAAATATATACAGTAAGAGAAAAGAATTGTGGGTAATTCTAAGAGTAATGGAGGATTCAAGTAAAGGGCTCGTGCTGGTTGTCCACGAGAATTAATCATTCTATTTTGTTGCCCTTTGTCATAAATGCAGATGCTGAATAAAAGGGGCTGTGCCCAACCCGAACCTGAGACGACATTACACAGACGTCACACAAATAACCAGAAAAAGTAGTTTGTGACAAGCTCCAGCCACTGATATAACAAGACATTAGTAATAAAATGGCATATTTTATTTTACACAGCAGCTGTACCAAGGTGAGAAAACTGATAGGCAGATGACTGCACAGTGAACCATTAACCAGAATAGATTTCATTTCACTGAAAATTTATTAAGTCTGGGTGTGTAACAGTACAGCAAACATACAAACAGGTGTCAAGTTAAAGGAACCACCATGAAGTGTCTCAGTAAAGTGCTGCAACAGAATGTCGAGGCAGAGCAGTTTCAGTACTAAGGATGAGACATTCTATCAATATGCAATCGATTATACATTTCTAAGCATTACTGATTATATGTTTCTAAGCATAAATGACAATCCTCTTCATGCTAAATGTTAAATGTTGTTGAGGGTAAAAAGATGATCATTCTGAAAAACTTTATACTATACTTTAAAAATGACCCCTCCCTGTAAGAGAACAAATGGACCCAAGCCAAGCACTCAGACACCTGACAACATCCATAGCACCACCAGACCCCTCACTTTAGAAATCAAAAGTTCCGTTTTTCTTTTAATTTGTAATCCTTCTTTACAACTCAAACACACAAACACACATTGCAGAAATTTTCAATTTGTAAAATTGTAGCTAGATCAAGAAAAACTGTCATGGCGGCTTTACCCTCATATGCCCTGCGTAGATGAGTAAGTGAAATCATCAGAAATTATTTCTCTTTTAACACATAATCACAGTGTAGTGATACATATAAGGATGCTAAAAAGAAAGAAAGAAAGTTGCATCTGGTCAGAAGGAAAGAAAAAACAACCTTGCAAGAGTTGGCCAGATTTGTACCAAATCAAAATAGATGCAAAGATATCAATGGTTACACCCTCATGTATGTTGTTTCACAAGACAAGATGAAATGGCTGATTTGTTCCTCTAACTCACAACAATTTTAATCTCTACATTTTGACTTTTTCTCAAAATAGAATTTTAACTTTTCTTTTTCTTTTTTTTTTGTTAAGAGAGATCATTTATGCCAAGTCTGCTCCTAACAAACTCCTCTGCGTTGCTGAGAGGCAAATGAAGCTTTCGATCCTTGCATGAGTTTCAAGGCAGTGATGTCAAAAGCATAAGTGAAAGCATAACGGTTGCATCTCACGATTTCCAACACATCATGTGACTTAGAAGAAAGAGATGAGTTTGAGATACTAGTAACATCACTCAGAAACTGCCTAGAATGGATTGGGCATTTGTCTCCTACAACGCTGTATTAACTGTAAGATTTTGCATTAATCGCATGTTAGAAATCTATGTAGTATTAAGAAAAAGAGTATTAAGAAAAAATATTATTGATCTTTTTGATAATAAAGTAGAAATTTTGAGATTAAAGTTTGTAACAGAACCACGGCAGACCCGACCACATTTCCATGCTTTCAGCATAATCTTTATTGACACTCATGGTTGCTATAGCTACTTGCACGGCTGCAGCTTTTCAGTTCTGCCAAACACTCCAACAACAACAACCACAACAGTAAGAGCACAGACTTTGAGCCGGTGATGCGTGATTACGGATGCCGCTCAAGTGCGTCCGCCTTCCTTGTTGCAGCACCGCAGACAATGCCCCGCCACCCATTGCCCGACTGAGGCCGGGGAGCCATTCAGCCGAACTTGCTAAATGCGGATGCCGCTCAGGTGCGTCAACTCCCGCCACAAAATTGAAATATTATTTTGCGAAAAAAGTCAAAATGACAACAATCGTTGTTTCAAGACAAACTGCCAAGCTGGCTATACTCTCTACAAAATGCCCTGCGTAGATGAGTAAGTTAAATCATCGGAAATTATTTCTCTTTTAGCACATAAACACAGTGAGGTGAAAGACGCTAAAAAGATGGTCAGAAGGAACAACAAAATAAACTTGGAAGAATTAGCCATATTTGTACAAAATGAAAATGCTATCAGTGGATAGATGTAAAGATATCAGTGGTTACACCCTTGGACATTTTGTTTCACAAGACACAATAAAACGGCTGATCAATTTGTTTCTCTAACTCACAACAACAAATTTAATCTCCACAATATGACTTTTTTGTTAAAATAGAATTTTTACTTTAATACCAAAATTTCGACTGTATTCTCAAAATGATCAACAATAATTTCTTTACTTAATGTGGCCCTCATACTCCGTATGGTGCTATATATTACCAGAACATTTTTTTCGTTAGTAATCTTTATAAGCAAAACTAATGATCGCTGCAGCACACATACACACTACAAAAATATTACAAGTTAAAAATCAACTCACCTTTGCTTTTTTTCGATCTGGTTTTTATCAACGCAGCTTCCTTTTTATGAACCCTAACAGATGCTGTTTTTATAGAGAGAAACGTTATGCTGAGTCTGCTCCTAATAAACTTATCTGCTTTGGTGAGAGGCAAAAGACGCTTTGAATCGTTGCATGACTTTCAAGCCAGTGATGTCAAAAGGAAAAGTGAAAGTATAACTGGTCTGCATGTGTGGCTGGAATTTTCCATGAGGGCCCAAAGTTCTTTTCTTCTTTTATATTGTTATTGGCAGTTGGCAAAAAAAACCCCTCAAAAGTGCATTGCTAGTATGGAGTGAGAACTGGAACTGGAACGTCGAGAAAACCCTCAAATCCTTCCAAGCAATTTTGCTGTTGTAAGTGATGTTTTTTATATTATAATTTATGCTTAGAAATATATCATCATTTGTATGCTGATAAAAATCATATCCTTATTAGGTCTGAGTGCAGGTCGTATGTCTATGTATGGTATAGAAACACACACACACACACACACACACACACACAGGATATAGACACTGATGTTGTTCAGATATGCCTGCTTAAGAATGTCACATGCATTTGTAATTGCATATTCATGAATGATTGCTTGCGGACAATAAAAAGGGCTGTAGCAAAGGAATCAGTCAAAGTTGGCTATGGACAGGTGAAGCCCTGGGCTGACTTCCCTCGCGAGCCACAAAGACAAAGAGCTCTGTCTTGTTTTGTTTTGTCGTGCAGTTTGGGCTTGTGTTCCAGGAGGGTTTGTGCCTAGATAAACCCAACATTTCCCTCTTTTAAAAACTGAAATAAGGCGTGGTAACGTTTACTTCCAGATTGCTTTTGCAATAAATCAATAAGATCCCGTTTCATTTTTATATCACCGAGGTTTTGGATAAATTGTCTTCTCTCCCCAGATATCCAAACTATATCATGACCAGCAGCTTTTACAGCTGCTCAAGCAAACATCAGCTTTAATGTTACAAGAAAGTAACATCAAAGAAATTATAAAACAAGCTTATCAAGCTTAAATGTGCTGCTGTTGTTTAGCGCGGCATCCGCTGGTTTCCTCTTTCTGGCGCAAAGTGGGTGATAAACAAACAAGAGACGGGACTTGCCACACAAAGCCGATCAGCTGATCATTGTTTAGTTTCATTGTTGAAGTAGCAACGAGAGAGGGAGGGGAGAGAAGAAGAGGCAGATAACAGTGTAAAGACAGAATAACTTTGTGTCTTTTTTCATTCTAGCGCGACAAATCGTGTTCCTTCTCACCTCAATGCTATTTTCTTCAGTTTCTCTGTAATAAGATTGCTTTCAGAGCCGTTACCCAAGCAACGGGGGAGGGTGCATCCGACCTCCTCCTTGGCTGTAATTGGTCCAGCCCAGAGTCGATCATGACCAATTGGCCAATCCACCACTTTTTATTGTTTATACGTTACAGAAAAAAAAGAAAGAAAAAAACATTGGCCCATAAAAACGAAAAAACATCATCGGCCCACCAGGCAGTCCAGCTTTGTGGGTGGTCAGTGGCGGTCCTAGCCTGTTTGGCGCCCCGGGCGAACACTCCCTCTGGCGCCCCCCCGCACACACAAAACATATTAAGGATTGTACATTAACATAAAACTGTTGTCGGAACCATACTGAATTTCACCAGAGAGACACACACACACATATGAAGAGAGAGAGAGAGTATGCATTGTATGCAAACGGCTACCAAACACCCATCATAATTCGTCATACAATGAGAACAGGACAAATCAACAATTGACACTGACTAATTAATATTAAAATCTGTAACATAATGTATTGTTTGGAGTTTAGTCTGTTACTGTTACTATTTTTTACCATTTCTCTTTGGAGCAACTGTAATCCACATCATTTCCTTAGGGATTAATGAAGTATTCTGATTCTGATTCTTTCAGGATGACCTGCCATTATCCAATGACACATCTGCTTACCTGCATCTTTTGCTCGTTTCTCCTCCTCTTCTTTTCTCTTTTTTCTAAACTGAGCACCTGATGGCTTTTAACTTTTCTTGTCCATCTTCCATTGGTTTTAATTTTGCACTCCAGTACACAAATCCCCCAACTCGAGGATCACCACAACATAACCTAATAGACCTACACCTTAGCTCACAGATTCACTTTGTCTAGGGTGCATTTCTGGGATTTCACACAACCCAGGATTCAGATCATGAACACATAATGGGCTTGGATTTACATCATTATGAATGAAATGTGCTCTATCTGGAAGCAGCCGGCCTCCCTCCCCTGTCGACAGGTTGTGTGTGAGAAGATCATCAAACTGTAAATTATACATTTTAAATTGTTATTGATCCCTTTACTCCTGGTCCTAAAGTGTGTATTTATTTTCTTACTCTTCTTATATTTGTTGTTTGTTTACTTGCACTGCTGTAACTGGAGCCTCGTTGTCTCGTCTCTCTATATACTGGACTGTATGTAGCGGAGATGACAATAAAGTTTACTTTGACTTCAGCAGCGCGCAGGCGCACTGAGGGCTCTTGCGCTCACTTTTCGCGTATAGAATTTCGAAAAAATATCAGTGCAAATTATAAGTCTGTATCATAATGTCTCGTGTTTTCGTGTTTGTTGTTTTGTTTTTATTTTGTTTTATTTTTTGAGTTGGTTATCAGATGCTGCTCCAGCCAGCCACAGAATCCCCCGCCGCCCCGCCCTCTCCTCCCTGTACCGCAAGCAGCAGGCGCACCTCGCAAACGGAGGGCGCCCTTACTCCCAGCAAATGGGCGATAGAAAACCGATCGGTGCTTATGCCATTCCCAAAATGCGCTGGCTGATGTCGGGGCAGCATGAGTACAACCAATTTATTATTATTATTTTTTTGCCCGTGAATCCGCCCCCACCACGATGCCGCCCCGGGCAACCGCCCATGTCGCCCGTATCAAAAACCGCTACTGTGGGTGGGTGATAATTCCTGATGTCAAAGTTCAGAGGAGAACAGGCAGACTGCTTCAAGCTGATAGGAAGGCTCAACTCAAACAATTTAACTCAACAACCATTCGTTACAATGAAGTTATGCAGAAGAATATCTCTGAATGCACAACACTTCCAACTGTGTAGCAGATGGGCTACGGCAGGAGAAGACCGCACCAGGTCCTACTCATTTCAGCTAAGAACTGGAAACTGAGACTGCAGGTGACACAGGCTCACCAAAATTCAACAACAGAAGATTGGAAAATTGTTGCCTGTTCTTCATATTCTATAAAATAACATGTTTTTAGTTGCTGTCTTGTGAGGCCCACATTTAATGAGCTGGATTTACAAAAGTATTAGCTGAGCCCATGATAATGCAGAATAACATTGGCGGGGGATTTTTCAGTTGAATGAATAGTTTTAATTTTGAAAATTTAAATTGGATTTTTAATGCATTTTTAAAATTGTGCAGTTTATTTGTAGTATATTATAGTATTGTAGGTACTTTCATAAAGCATCTACCGTAAACAATTCCTCATCACTCCTCATTGTCATAGTGGTTAAAGGATTATCAAGATAGTGAGACATTGCTAATGAAGCTGTAAAACTTGGGAAGGCCACATAAGAGTATCTGTGATTTAGATATAAATTAACATATTTTATTGTACTTGGTGTACCAAGTAACTGAAAGTGATATTGCTGCAGGGTGAACTACAGTATAATTATTACCTAGAATTAATCTCACTGGATCTCCTGAGTATGGGTGTGTAACTGTAAAATACAGACAAGGAAAAGCCAACAGGACGTGTCCTAGTAAAGTGCTGCAAAACTATGTGCTGGCATAACAACTTCAGTGTTCCTTGTTAGTGAAGCTCAAGATCACTGTCTAATACAGGGGTCTCAAACTCACGGTCTGGGGGCCACTTCCGGCCCACATCACCTCTATTTGCAGCCCGTATATTGACGTGAAGAAATATAATGCACTTTGGCCCTTGAAGTTACTTTTCTTTGTTAGGGAGGATTTTTTTATTGTTCGGTGCAATGTTAAAATAAGTTCTTTAAACAGCAAAAAAATTATTTAATACAAAGGCAATATGAGCAGAGAGCACAATGTGTCGAGGGCTGTTAGCTCAGTGAGAGAGTTATTTGTAAAGAAAACAATTTTCACAAGCAGTCAAAAACTAAAACTAATGTGTACACTTATGTCTGCATTTTTATTTTGTTAAGTAGAAGCAAAATTAAAAGTGCTGGCACGTGTCTGGCCATAAAGAGAGTACCAATTTGTTTATCTGGTAGTCAATGACAGGCTTCAGTTAGTTAAGAGTGAGAAAAAAATGTGTTCACATTTGCAGTTTTTTCTTGCTATGCAATATTTGAAACCCAGCATACCTGAAGATGTTTATTACACGGAGTCTTCTTAATATTTTTATCTGTTTTATTAATCATTTAATTAAAATGTTTTGACTTTTATACATACTTTTTGTCTTCACTGTTACAATTTTTGTTTCTCCATTTGATGGACTTGACCCACATTTCCAATTTATTAGAATGAACTTCTGTTTGCCATTTCTTTGGGTTTTCCTCCACTGTTGCGACTTTCATCCGTAAATAAAGCCGCGGCCGGCTGAGTTGGTTGTGTCCCTGTGACGCGCCTCCAATAATCCATAATGAGTCGAACTTGTACTTTGCGCATTTATTTTAAGAACAAAACAAGAACAAACATTTGCGCTTTCAATCAATTTCCAACTAGCGCATGGATTAACTGGTGTGCCAAAAATGACGGTCAACAGAAAAGTTTGCCCACAAACCACTCACCCAACACACCTGCTGCGAACACCGACATCAGGTAAATAGACTGTGACCACACCCACATACCATCACCTGAGACGCAGGTAAAGCTATACACCTGTGCCACCAAAACAAAAAAGGAAAAACATAAACATTGACTTTGGCTCTTACAATACCGGCCCCTAATTATTATCTTTTAAATAATAATTACAAAATAATCAAGTCTTACATCATTTGCTTGTTCATAAAACATGTCAATCACCCTTTAGTGCAACATGCATCAGTACTACTACTTGTGGTTCACCATCTGTGAGGTTAGTAACCCATAAATAAAAGGAGTAGGTCACTTAAAGATTATCCAGTCAGTCCAATATGTTAAATAGTCTCTGTTTCCTGCAAAAGACAGACTTTATTTATAGGTCTGTTTAGGAATCCAGTT